TGAAGGACCCAAATGCAGCACTCGAGAAACCAAGGAGTATTGGTAATATACTTTATTGGTAATAATACCAGAGCAGAGGGATACCAGCAGAACAGGAACAGCCGGATGATGTGCAGGCAAACGAACCAGAGGCCAGCGGGCAGAAGGTGAGTCAGGGCCGGGCAGAGGGGCAGGGAGCAGGCGAGGCGGGCAACGTGGGTACAGGCAGGGTCAGACAGCAGGCAAGGCAGGATAGTCCAAGGACAGGCAGGATCAGGGAACAGGCAGAGCAGGCAGGTCAGGGACAGGCAGGTCAGGGAACAGGCAGAGCAGGCAGGTCAGGGACAGGCAGGGTCGGAACCGGGTAGGCAATCTGGTAACAAATGCGTGAAAGACTAGCATGAAGGCAAAGTACGATCTGGCATCGGGTGTGTGTCTGGTGAGGGTTTAAATACTGGCAGTGTGACTAATGGGTGCAGAAGAGAAAGAGAGTGAGCAAAAACGTGTGTGTGGTTAACAGGTGAGACAGGTGAATGGAAAACTACTGGTGAATGATGGAGCAGACTGTGACAGTAACACAACATGTAATGATCCTCGTAAGATATAGTTCAAAGTAAGTTTCCCCAGCCAATCACAAGATCTCCTTTATCTAAATATCCCGTCCTATTTCAAGAAATCTAACCAAGCAAATCTTCACTTGTTCTATTTGCAGATTTGTGTACTTATTACCAGCGAAAACAGCTTGTTTTCATTATTCTTTTACTTGATTTTGGAGCAGCATTTTTTCCAGTGTTGTTTTGAGGATTGTAGACGAACACAAGACGAGTTCAATGAAGTTAAAGATGGAAAATAAAGACTCTACATCCTCACTTTGTCTGGTTTGAGAAACAGGTTGTGTGGATTGTAATCTGAAACAGCTTTGAAACCAAGATACTGATCCGTATATTAATAAATGTCCTTATTGTCCGGAACTAAAGGCGTTCTGTCGCTGCCGAAGCTCCAACAGGCTGTGAACTCGTTGTGAGAAATGATCACGGCTGGATTCCTGTTCATCTGGAAGGTGGTGGAGGACTTTATAACTGAGGGAGTGTGCTGCTGAGATTAATGCTGCTGCTTTCAGAGATCTATTGTGGAGGAAACTCAAACTAACTCCGCTCAGTCGTCGGTGTTTTCACACTCCTCTTTAAGGTTTAAAAGATGGGTTCAGAGTACATTCATTGTTCATGAGAATACAGAGAGATGATGGTGATTTAATCTGCAAATCTAACCATATGCAAGTTCACACGATGGTGTTAATGCATCTTAAAGTGTTTAGTAACCGCTAAAAACACCAGAAGAAAAACAACGTCTACATTTTAGTGCAGTTCGTGTTGTAAATTGGCCGATTCCTTGGTGGTGCCTCTTGGAGGATTTCTTAAGAACCTATTATTATCTGATCGACATTACATTTGAAACCGCTCTCCCTTAGGTCCTCAGCTAAGAACTGAGCAAGTGTGAAGAAGATTGGATGAACGGTACTTCAGATATGTGAAGGACAGTCAAACTGCAGACAGAGATTTCTCCCATTTTTTAGTTAAATGACGGCGCCGCCTTTTGGCCTAATGGCACCATATTGGTCATGGTCACTCAGACATCATATCTACATCATATATATCTATCATATCTACACACCTCCACCAAATGTGGTCCCAATAGCACAAACTGGAAAAAATGCTGCTCCAAAAACAAGTTAAACAATAATGAAATCAAGCTGTTTCACTTGAAATAAGTCCAAAAATCTGCCAATAGAACAAGTGAAAATTAACTTGGTAAGATCTCTTGAAATAAGAAGGGATATTTAGATAAATCAGATCTTGTAATTAACTGGAGAACTCATTTTGAACTATATTTGACCAGAATCAGGAGATGTTGTGTTATATCAGGTGGAGAGACATATTCTGACTAGATGTTAGACGCATATACTTGGCAAGATTTCGAGTTTTTCTAGTGTAGAGGAGATATCAGGGCCGTCCCTCCCTACAGGCCGATCATGCAGACTGCGTGGGGCCTCACCTTGCGGAGGGGGCCTCACCTTGCGGAGGGGGCCTCACCTTGCGGAGGGGCCCTCACCTTGCGGAAGCCCCCGCAAGATGAGGCGCCCCCCCCCTCGTTGACGCTCCCGAAACAGAGGGCCTCATCATATAACTTGCGTGGGGCCTCATGTTGGCCAGGGACGGCCCTGGAGATATAGACCGTTTTCTGTCTTGTTCTGGCCCAAAATGAGAGATGATTGCTCTAAATTTGGACTAAAGATTTGGTCACAATTTAAAAATTGGATTTTTTAATTTTTCTTCCAGAGTATTTTGATTCTGAGACCTATGGCTAAAGAGGTAGAGCATAATATCTAAAGTTTGTTATGAAAGAAACCACCATTTGGTTCAATTGCACCACATTTGACCCTTGACTCCCCAGCAATACACACACAACTGCTAGGTTAGGGTTAGGGTTGTGTTGAACATAAAAAACACATTAAGAGATTCATGTTTTATATATTTTTAGATATGAACTTACTAGCTTCAGCTAATAGGCCTTCTGTTTGAATACCAGGAGTCAGTTACTTCCTGTTTCTGTATCTGACGGTAAAAGGTTGACGGCTAATTGATTTTCCAATTTCAGTGTCTAGTCAGATGCTATTGTCATAAAGCTAAAACCCCACGTAAAACAGAGCTTTCTAAGTGGCTTTAAAATCACTTTTTCCAGTAAGTGTTCCCCCCCTGAGCTTCCCTCACGCTCTGACTGTGACAGTGACACTTTAAAAGGCTATATGACAGGTTTTATGGCGGTTCAATCCCCCCATGTTTACATTGGCGGTGGATTCTGTGCGGTAAACTTCAGATGGAGTTCGTAATAAGTTGTGACAGGTATTCATCCCGAGCTCTTCTGGTTAATCGTGAATAATGGCAGCACATTGTTCTTTATCTTTTAATGAATGTCCCTGCCAGTGGAGGAGGATAGCAAACACTGAACACCTTAACCCTTCCTGTACCTAAGAGAGCTGTCGAGTAATACACGTAGATTTGGTTTTATTTACTGATGCTATATGGCTTCAGACACAGAAACGTCTCATATCTGCAGTCTATATTCTGTATTTGTGAAACGAGATCATCTCCTCTGCCACTTTATCTAAAAGCTGTTATTTCCTAAGTAAGCGGTGACCTTTGTTTTATTACTACTGCACTCCTGCTGAGTCAGAGACTGAGAAATAAGAAAATGTCATGTCTGTGAGTGCTTTAGATTAGTTTCATTCAGCTATAACTGCAACCGGAGAGAGGGGAATACAGCAGCAGGCAGTGTGGAAACGCCGCTGTAGAAACATCAGGTGCATGTCAAATTATTCAGAAACAGATATGTGATCAGGGAGTTCATGAGGAGGACGTTTCGTCTGTAAAGGTTGTTTGATTTATATCCAGAAACAGCTTTGACACCAAGAGTCTGGTTCGTATATATCCACAACTAAAGGCGTTCTGTCGCTGCTGAGACTCCAACACGCTGTAAACTCAAGTAACTAAGTAGATTTACTCAAGTACTTAAGTATAATTGTGAGTTACTTGTACTTTACTTGAGTATTTCCATGTTATGCTACTGTGTACTTCTACTCCACTACATGTATTTAATCCCTTTAGTTACTTCACAGATGTGGATGAATGATGTGAAATGTAATCAAGTGTTAAATCAGACTTTAGTTCCACCTGGAGTAAATCCACAAGCTACCCTGCAGTATACAAAGTCATTCAAACTAGCTGCACCTTTACCAGCTTTGAGAACACTTTCATGATCAATCATTATAAAATATATCATATATATTATTCTGAAATGGACCAATCTGCACAACTACTTTTACTGTCGCTACTTTTGAAAGCGTCACTCAGGATTTTGTTACCAAGTGTTTTTATTGTTCTTGGGGCATGAAACACAAGATTTTAACTTTAGTTTATTTTTATCTAGTTTTTTCAAACTTAAAATGACATTATAATAACATAAGTATTTTTGATTTGAGGCCCAAAGAGATAGCAGCAGTAACAGTATGAATTGTAGTTGAAATATAGCCGGTGATGCATGACGTCCTCTTTAGTGGACAGGTGAATCATCATAATTTCCTGCAAACATAAAATCAATACTTTGACAATTTATGAATTATATGATTCCTTAGTTGCTACTTGATGTCACCAACATTGTTATACCAGCAGGGGGCGCTTTCCATGAAAGGATTGGCAGGATATCGGCAGGCGATTTGGTCCATCTGACTTTCTGTCGTTCATCTTGGTTTAGAGAAATGTATCATGCACTTGCACTGACTGTCCACTGAGTGGCCGTGTATGGGATGATGCAATAGGGTCCTAGGTAGTGGCTGATGTGCAACCATGCCATCGAAACCCATGCATATACAAGAAAACACCTTTTGAAAAGCTGTCCACTGTAGTAGCCTCTATGCGTGAAAGGGTTAACTATATTTTGATGATAATACTTTTCTACTTTTACTTTAATAACATTTTGAATATAGTACTTTTACTGTAACAGAGTATTCCTACACTCTGGTTCTACCTTTACTGAAGTAAAGATCTGAGTACTTCTCCCATTTCTGTAAATACATTTCTCAAGAACTGGATGTAATTTCTAAAGTAAGTGTATTTCAGTCAGGCACCTCCCCGGTCAGCTGCAGCCGGCTGGCGGGGTCCTTCCTTTCCCCTGTGCTAAGCAGGATTAGCATCTCAACATGCCGACTGTCGGAGTAAAGAGGGATCTTCTGTTCAAAGCTTTGGGCAAAACACAGATGTATATAACATTCTTATATTTAAGTTTCGGTGGTGCCTTGTTCTTTAGGGAGCTTTGTGTGTGTTTCTGCTGTTGAAAAAAAAATCACTTAAGTACATGCATATTACTTTTATTGAGAACAATTTAACAACTTTTAAAATCCACAACATCTTTTAACAGCAAATTGTGTCAAACAGTCCATCTCACTCTTTCTGAACAGTCTCAGTGCACTAGTGAAAGTTTTCTCCAGTGTGCGGTAGTACGCTGATCTTCAAGTGGGCTGGTTCTCTGAAGCTCTTCTCACAGTGAGCACAGACGTCAGGTTTCTCTCCGTTGTTGGTAGGCTGGTGGAGCTTCACACTGCCTGAGTCCCTGAAACTCTTCTCACACTGGTCACAGGAGTAGGGTTTTTCTCCAGTGTGGGTTCGCTTGTGAATCGTCAAATTGCCTGAGCTGGTAAAGCTCTTCTCACACTGGTCACAGGAGTAGCATTTTTCTCCAGTGTGGGTACGTTTGTGGTGCTTCAATGTGCCTGAGTCCCTGAAACTCTTCTCACACTGGTCACAGGAGTAGGGTTTTGCTATCGTGGCTGTAGACTGATGTTGATCCAGCTGTTCTCCGATGATACTCTTCTCCCCCTCGTCATAAAGTCTATCTGGGTTTTAGCAGGTCTCTTCCTGTAAAACAAAAAAACAAATGAAAAGAAAAAGAGACACAAGTGTTTCAGAGGACACATATGAATGTCTAGATAAAAGTAAAAAATGGACGTGACAGAAGTAAAGTAAGGTTTTGAATGAAACCCGAAAATGCCTCGTTGTAGCCTATATACCACTGAATAATCATGTTATGATGACATCATTTCAGTACATTTGAATGATCAGATGTTAACATCTCCTTGTGTATGCTACTGTAGCTTTAGCTAACTCACTCTTTGCTACAGGTGACTTCCTGTTTAAATGTTTGATTGATTTTGCCAGATGTTTCCTAGCAACCAATATACACATTATGCTTCACTCAGTATAACGAATGCTTTTTTAAAAATTCTTCCTTGTTTAGACTCAAATGCAACCATGTAAACCATTCTGAAAACTTAAATCAACAGGGCTCTAGACCAGTGGTTCTCAAATGGGGGTACGCGGACCCCTAGGGGTAGCCTACGTTGGAGTACTGCAGGGGGTAGGCCTACGTGAGATTTATTTTATGTTAATGAAAAAAACAACATAAGTAATACATTTAAACAAACTACTAATAGTATATGAACTACTTTATTCAAAGGTTTTCAGTCATTCTGGATAATACAATGGGAAAAACAAACGGGGTGCTCTCTTTCCCTCTCCCTCTCCTGACAGCCCGTCAGTCTCATGCAGCTCACTGATCCAGTAATAAGTGACCCGACAGTAAAGAATAAATATATTTCTCATAACTAGTTTAGCTAGTTCCAGAGTAGATAAGCTAGCTAAGTGTGATAGGTCTAACTCTTAGTGTATTTCATTTTGCTCCGCTAAACGGTCCGTCACAGCGGGTGGAGCTGTGATCCGGAAGAGCTGCGTGTTCTCCGTCAGCAGCAGCTGATCTGATCTCTGATCTCTCTCTCGCGTCCGGTTATACTTCACTCGCGTTTATGTCCAAATCTATCAGATCTAGCTAGTTCTAGTTAATGATATGACTGCCTGCTTATCAAAGGACCTAAACAATAAGTGTTGCTTGGCAACGGCGTGTGGCCGCAAAGTATAGCGCAGCATTATGCATATGTTGATATGAGGGGTCAAAATCCCATGCTCATAAAATGCTCATATATTTGTTTCTCTTCATTCCCCACGCCCCGAAATAAATAAATAAATAAATATACCAATTTTAGGAAAAGTAACTAAGTTTGAGCAGTGTGGGTTTTATATGAACAGAGTTACACATATTTCAAAACACAAAGTGTAATAACTGCAGTTAGCCTCCCTGTCAGAATGACAAAGATCCTCAGTGAAGCACAAGCCCATGTTTCTCACTACATTGTAAGTACAACTTATTAAAAAGATCAGTTCAATGTAACTATTGTCGTCTCAGTGTTATTGCATGATGTTAAAATTGGTTTGCCATGAATTTAGTGATGGATTGTAATCATTTGAAATGTAGCATTTAAGTGTTTCTCAGTTAGAAGGTTGTTGTTTTAATAAATCAGACTCTGATGGTGCAGCACTGTACTGTACCTCTTTGTATAGGCTTTGTGTCCCTAACAAATAGTTGTTGCGCTGATCAGGGGGTACTTGGCTGACATTTCTTTTCAAAGGCGGAACATTATTGAAAACAGTTTGAGAACCACTGCTCCAGACGGCTAAACTTTAAACAGAATGTCATTGTTTTCACTCAAATATGAATACTTATTTAACCAGGATTTTAAAAGTTAAAGTAACTTACCTCTGCTGATGAACTCATTCTGCTGCTTGTGTTATCGTCTACCTGATGTTCAGCCATCTGCAATAACAGAGATTACCATATTACTTATTTGCCAACTACAGGAATTAAAATAAACCTTTTGTGTTTTTTCTAAATGTTAACCTTGAGACCATTCATTTGACAAAACAATCAGTACCACAAAGCTCAAAGAGAGATAGAGTCCATCCAGTTAGACACTTGCACATCTGACACATAATAGAGACATATCTTGTTGTGCTTTAGTTTGTGCACTTTTTAAATAAATGCAGCTTTAAAATGAGCTAATGCTATATATTATACATATAAATAAAGACAATAAGGCAGTCTTGTGCAGAGAAAGCAGGCCTTACATTTCAGTCCCAGTATCCAACATGCAGAACAATAAACTGTATTTTTATTAAATATCAAAATAACTCTCCCTCTGCCAGCCAAACAGTAGCTCCAGTAAACATCACATAGAAACCACCCAGCTGCAGAAACGCTTACCGTTGATGTGTGGAAGTACTTTCAATAACTCGTGCCTGTTGATGGACGTCTTCACGTGGGTCAGGTTTTAAAAAGATGCACTGGTGTTTCCATGGTAACCCAATTCAAAGGTTCCAATACAAACAGGGTTTTAAAAATCAACAGCAAAAACATAAACCACTCGTCCTCACAGTAAACATATGATGTCGTGTGCATCTTAACGGCAACACTGAACACTGAACAAAGATCTGCTAAATAAAAAGGGGGGAAAAACTGAATTTTAAACTAAAAAGTTGGCTGTAATTAAGTAATAAAGTATATTTTATCATATCTTATCTTATATGTTAAAATGGATTTCGGCAACATAGATACAAATATATAATATACACATGAGAAAGATATAAGATAAGTTCAATGTCCCACAAGCGGCTAACTTGCATGTGACAGCAGCAAAAGAAAAGTGCTATATCAACAAGTTTAAACAGCAAGATATAATAAATAAGTACACAAGTGTATAACATAGTTAAAAAGTAAATAAAGAACTATAATTGCCTGTACACTTTCATGATCAATCATTATAAAACATATCATATATATTATTCTGAAATGGACCAATCTGCACAATGACTACTTTCACTGTCGCTACTTTCACTATATTTTGATGATAATACTTTTATACTTTCACTTGAGGAACATTTTGAACGCAGGACTTTTACTGTAACAGAGTATTCCTACACTCTGGTACTTCTACTTTTACTCAAGTACAAGATCTGAGTACTTCTACTTTTACTCAATTACAAGACCTGAGTACTTCTACTTTTACTCAAGTACAAGATCTGAGTACTTCTACTTGTACTCAGGAAACACTTCCAGAGAGAGACCCCACAGTTTAAAAGGGAACATGGGAGAAACCTCAGGGAGAGCAACAGAGGAGGGATCCCTCTCCCAGGACGGACAGACGTGCAATAGATGCCGTGTGTAAATTGAAAAGATAATACATTTGCAACATAGGTAGTCCAAATGTTTGGAAATGCATGTGTCTAATAAGAAGATGAATCCACGAGGATATCCATCCAGGACTCATGATCCAGGACCACAGCAACAGGATCAGCCACGACTCAGGATCCCGGCGTAGATAGACACCAAAAAGAAATTTGGGGGAAGCTGGGTTATTCGGAACATGAGAGTACAGGTACAGACAGAGAGAAGGAAGAAGTGAGGTGTCCCCCGACAGTCTAAGCCTATAGCAGCTAAACTAGGGGCTACTAGGGGGTTTAAAGTGTGTGTGTGTGTGTGTGTGTGTGTGTGTGTGTGTGTGTGTGTGTGTGTGTGTGTGTGTGTGTGTGTGTGTTCAGAAAGCAGCAGTTCATATGGAGGACACATCGTCTCTCGCTCAGATAACATTTCTGCTGTCTCACAGGGAGTCTTCGCTCCTCCGGCTGCTCTCCGGCCGATAAGAAGTGCTCCGTCTTATCGCCTCTCCTCCACTATCAGCTCCTCCTGATACTGCCTTCTCCTCTCCACCATCTCCAGGTGTTGCAGATTTTAGTCGCCGTCAGACCTCTCTGATCTCAGACTAGCAGCTCAGATCCTGAGGGTTACTCTGCCGTAGATGGAACCAGATTAGAGAAGCATGTTTTGGTTGCATTGGTGTGTTTGCTTTGCAGAAAAATGCACGACGATGGAGTAAAATAACGTGAAGTCACGAGACGACATAAAGCATTTTCTCCTGGACTTAAAGGGCCAGGTTCCCTCTTCCTCCTTATTGCTAGAGCTGGATGTATGCTTCTTTTGAAGGCTTTTCCCCAGGGTAAATATGGAAATGTTCTTTTTTTTTATAGCTTATACAGTCACAAGACTATTCAGGATTGCAGAGTATTTAAAGCTAACAACAAATAACCTGTTATGGCTGAAGATGATTACGATATGCCGGTGAAACAGAGAAAAAGTCTGCAAAAAAAACGTCTAATTATATTGAAATGACTGCTGGAAAAACACGAGTTTGTTTCAGTTGTGTATTTGTTTGCAGAATTGCACACTAAGGGATATACGTGAATGTGCTTTGAAGATACTAAGCATATTGGAACGGTTCTTCTTTCGGCTAAAGCTGGACGTCATTTGTAAAGGTGCGTCTAGGGTCAAAATAAAGATGACTTTCTATTAGTTAATTACGATATATTAGATTATACCTTGTATTCTCTCCTTCTGAGGAAATGCAATCACAGGGGTAAAGGTAATCGGAGGGTAGGAGAGTAATTAAAGCGGATCACCAATCATCTGTTGTGACGTCTAGACGAGCTGCAACACATCTTCTGCAGTTTCTGAGAGTCACACAGTGAACATCCTGGGTATTTATTCATCCTGTGTAGTAGCACTCTACCTGATACTTCTATCTTCTATTCTCTACTTTGATGAAATGCAGTCACGAGGGTAGTTGTAATCGTAAGGAAGGAGAGTAAATAAACCAAAACCCTAAACGACCTGCAGATGAGTTTATAATATGCTTGCAAACAAATTGAAGTCAGCAAAACATCTTCAACTATATTGGAAATTCTGCAGCTTCTGAGAGGCACACAGTGAACATCCAGGGTCTTTACAAGTAAACAAGTAAATATATAATAAAAACAAGGTGTTTTCGCTTTTAATAAGTGAACAAATCTGCCAATAGAACAAGTACAAAATGGCTATGTAAGATTTCTTAAGGTAAAGATGGGATAATTAGATAAATTACATCTTGTATTTAGCTGCTTATTTTGAACTATATTTGACCAGAATCAGGGAATTTGTAACAAAAAAAGCCAGAAATGCTCAGACGCTTTCTGTCTCCTGATGTTAGCTGGAGATCTTGTTGATGTTATTAACAGACTTTGACTTAAGATGCCTTCTCTAAAAACAAGACTCAAGTTATTATGTCTTATATCAAGTGCAACGACATATTCTGACTAGAAATGAGACAAATATACTTGGCAAGATTTTACATTTTTGCAGTTTATTCATCCTAAGTAGTAGCTTCTATCTTCTATTCTCTACTTTTGAGGAAATGCAGTCACAAAGGTAGTTGTAATCATAGGGTAGGAGAGTCATTAAAGTACAAACACTCAACGAGCTGCAGATGAGTTTATAATATGCTTGCAAACAAATTAAAGTCTTCAAAACATCTTAATCTGTATTGGAAACTCTGCAGCTTCAGAGAGTCCCACAGTGAACATCCAGGGTCTTTATTCATCCTAAGGGATGTTGTTGATAACGAACAGTAACAGATTATTTTGCTGCATGCATGGAGGATGAAGAAGTGTCCGTTACAGACGCAGATGATGAAACACGTTTGTGAACGCCGCCGCCAGGGTAATTAGCTCAACTCGAGTCATTAGCTTGTTGAGCTAATGACTCGGAGACAGAGGGTGAGACCTATATGAGACTAATCCTCTCCACGGGTGGGTGATGTCATCAGACGCTTCCCAGGCTGCTCAGTGGAGCGTGAAGCTAACCCTGATACCAACCTGCAGCGTGTCCACATGTTGATGCTTCTGGATAAACAAACACACGGTAGATAATCTGTCAAATGTTATGTAAAAAAAAACAATATATGTTTCATTGTTGGAGGAGCTCAGGTCAGAATCATTTCATTGCCATTTCTACACTGTAGCTTATGTGCATATGACAATAAAACCTTTGAATTTAAATGCATTGTATTTATTTATAAGTGTCTTTGAGTTTCAGAAAAGCGCTCTATAAATACAATGCATTTAAATAAAAATTCATTACAACACAACACAACATTAATTACTGATTAAAGAGGTGAGTTTGTTCATCAGGGTTGGCTGTAGTTCAGGAACATTTTTTAGATTACCAGCGTGACTTTTTAAGGCTGTGACAGCAAGCCGGATGTCAGAGGTCTCCACATTTTGTACAGTGTTTCGTGCACAGTCAACACTTTTTGTCCCATAGTTTCAGCCGCAGTTTCAGCATGGTGAAGAGATTGTATATTTAAAGTAGGCCTGTCAGTCGATTAAAATAGTTAATCGCGATTAATCGCAAATTAATCGCACATTTTTTATCTGTTCTAAATGTACCTTAGAGGGATATATATATTTTTTTTAATACTCTTATCAACATATGAGTGGACAACTATGCTTTATATGTTTGTTTATTATCATTTGAACAATGACAAATATTCTCATGAATATTAAACACAACAACCTGAACATTACAAGTGTGTGTGTGTGGGTGTGTGTGGTGTGTGTGTGTGTGTGTGTGTGTGTGTGTGTGTGTGTGTGTGTGTGTGGTGTGTGTGTGTGTGTGTGTGTGTGTGTGTGTGTGTGTTGTGTGGTGTGTGTGTGTGTGTGTGTGTGTGTGTGTGTGTGTGTGTGTGTGTGTTGGAGCTATGTGCAGCTCAAGGCATATATGCCTGTGTGTATGAGCTGTGTTGCGGCACTATCCGTGCTGAGTGTGCTGTCTGGCTCCCTGCATAAAGTCAAGTGTTCGGCGCAGTTGTCGGCGAAATGTCGCTCCTCTGTTTTCATTGAAACAGCTCCTTATATCCGTTAGCTCAGCTAGCTAGCACCAGATGCTAA